TGTTTACTGGTTTTGCTTCGCTATTAATTTTGCCGCAACGGGCCATATTTGCTGCTGGGGATTCCACTCACTATCTGCCAGTGATGTTATAATCGTTGTTGCTGCCATAACGGTTTTCACTAGCGCTGTTATCGTCTGTCTTCAGCATTGGCAAGGCAGTGAGTCGACATTTATTTTTCTGTCGTCTGCTCGCCGTACGAATTGGGAGACGAGCAACACAGCAGCAGCAAACTGTTCGGTCGTCCAGTTCGAGTGACCTGCTGAAGTACCCGACCGACCTTCTCGTCCGCGCTAGCGGATCGTTCTCGATTAGTTGTGTTTGTTGGTCATACAAATCGCGTGCTAAATCTCGCTTTGGCAGCGATCCGCTCGTAGAGCATCGGGCAAAGCTGGGGCAACAGGTGATGTTACGTATAGCAGAAATAGAAAAAGATAAAAGAGAGACGAAGTCGACGGAGCTAAACTACGCCTCATCCGTTAGTATGCGGTATTGCGGTTTTTTCTTTTATCTCTTCTACTACTACCGGCGAGTTGACCACAGGCGATCAAGTGTACGCTGAACTTTTCTAGGCACAGAGACAATCATAGATACAATATTCCACGGATATGGGTACACGATCGAATGACTATCCAATAGGACAACCTGTACAGAGCAATTTTGCCAACCGACTTTGGCATAACTGCCTCATGGGTAATGAGAACTGGGTGAAGCGTCCACAGAAAAGTGTTAAAAACGAGTTCAAGTTCTCTATTAAGGTAAGTAAACAGATCGGTTAGTCGCATATATACGTACAATGCTAGTATATACGTTAGTACAAGACTTTTTTTTTCTCTCGGTGTTTGACAATTCGCTAGCGCGCCCAATACGAATGCATTAACGAAACAAAATAGCCTTCAAGTGGGATCCTTGGGAACCGTTCTATAATAGGTATCTCTATAATTTTGTCATTCTTCATTTATAGTTCTTATTATTATTATTAATTATTATATATATAAAAATAATACGCAGATACAAATTCAAATAGGCGAGATACGTTTTTATTGACAGCGCTGCCCCGATACTTACCATACAGAGCTATGGCTTACACAAGGGAAAGCTTAGGATACTTTGAGTGACAGTCGATTTTTAACTATCATACAAACAAAAAACTTTTTTGTGAAGATATACTCCAGATCGAGATTTTTTTATTGATGCCAACCCACTGCAAAACAATAAATATTTGCTGATCCTAATGTGGCGAATATGATTTGGTCTGGTAAATCGGTGAGTAATGCGTGCGATTTTCTATTTATGCCTCTCCTCCTGGGTGGGGACTAGCGGACGCAGAGCAGATAAGTTCTAATTCTATTAAACCTTGTTTAGGCCATACACGATTTTCTACGAGCACTATTTACTTGCTTAAGTCCAAGTGGATGACGTTCGCGAGCGACAGCCCTCGGTCAATATCGGTCGCAGAATTTACGTCTTTCTGTACCCGCTAGTTTAGCTGCAGATTTCAGTTAATCTATCGCTGAGCCGGTCATTAGAGCCGACCGAGGTCTATTTGTTGTTTTTTCAAGTATATATCTACTTGATACACATGTGTTCTAAACAAATGATGCTAAATAAGTTACAATAACTATGATTATTATAGAGCTTAGTAGAACAGTCAAATATTTCCACGTCTTGCTAACGCGTAGTATACGTACTCAATATAAACTGTGCGTAATTGTGTTATATGAATGTGGATGCGTAAACAAGCCGTCCATCCTGTAAGACAGAGGATAGAGCCTAAACGTTATGAGCGTTCACCTTTACGGCTTTTCAACCTCGCCATGCTTGCTTGCCTAAGATCATTCAAATGCTTCATTCGCCGTTTGACCCAACATGAGCCGCCCATGCCACTCGACCCATTGAGGAGCTTCTTTTCATTCATTCGAATACCGTCCTCTAAACAGACCAGTCCGTTACGAACCACTTCCGTTATGAATTTCCAATCCAACCATGTCTCTCCATACGGCAGGCAACGGAAACTCTAGTTTACCTTCAAGCTGGTATTTTGTGCGCGAACAGACAAAGGAAGAAAAAACGACCAAGTGATCATAAAAAGCTAGAGATTTTAACGAAAAGCGGACAACAGAAATTCTCAGCGCAGAAAATGCAATGCCTTGTACTAGACAAAACTGTCGGAACTTACAGAAACATCCACACAAATCTTTGCTGCCACGTGAAGACGACGGCGACCGTGCCACCAGCGTAATCAGTACTCACTCTGCGTTAGGCGATCGGTCGCGTCTGCCGTCTGTGTGTCAGCAGCTACTAAAATAAAAATGTGTCTGCTTAGCGTAGCCAGTATGAATGAACTCTAGCCACCGCTCCAAACGATAACAGGCCGCGAAAAAGCGACGCGTGCTTCCATTGCTACAGTCTGTATTGCATAGTCAATCAACGGACGCCCTTGCAGCGGCAGTAGCAACAGCAGCGTTTGCCATTGTACTAGTGGCTGTTGTATTGTAATGATATTTTCGAGAGACTTACCTCTTCGTGAAGAATTGTTCCCATACAGTCTTCCCGACATTGCAATAGGAAATTAACGATGAGCGGCAAATTAGCAGCAGCGTTCATCTATGACTCAGCCTTTCAAAATTCGCTGTTTTCATGTTGCTGATGGTGGGCATTGCGAGTGCTAGCGGTTCTAGCTCTTAGGGAATTAGTTGATTCTGTAATATTGTGTACTAGTAGGAGGCGTTCCGGCGTATCAGAGCAATACACAGGCAAGCTAGGACGATAATGACGGTGGATAGCATCGCGCCAGAGGTAGCAGTAGTGAGATCTCTCCTGAGCGACGTGATAAAGCGTTTAGTTGGCTTCTTGCTACATTGTGGGCAGCGGCAACAGTAATATTTTGTTAGGTTATAGGTTGCTATCTAGCGTGCTCTTCTAAAATAAACTAGTACATACGTTTTCCCCCCAATGGCAATGATCGCGCACAGCAGCCCTATAATCTATCGAATATAGGGTACACTGATATATTCAAAGGTAACCACTATCGGTCGGTCGCCGCCAGCTTTGGCCAGGTAAGCTCGAGTTAAAAGCCAGTCAATTCGAGCTACTTTATATGCTACTTATTATTGTAATAACTGATTTGTTTCAGAATATAAAGAAATAAGCTTCCTTGAAAATAACACATCCACATTCTCATTAAGTAAGTATATCTAGAGCTATAGCAGACATTGGCTGGCAGAATAACTGTGCCCGATCGTTGCCACTGAACAAAGGCTCTCCCGTCATGCCAGGTGTTCTCGGTAATATCATTGCACTATTGCTCGTACCGCTGTCGGTGACGGGCCACCCAAAAAGGAACAGCTCCCCAACTAGCAAGAACGCGCCAAGTAACTCGTTCCTGGATACGAACACAGTAATTCGCCAGTCGCCATTGGCGTGTGTACACAGCCGCACGAACTCTAAGTACCGTCAGAACTGGGACGCTATCGCGTCCAGCGTAGCTTTGCTGGAAATTCAAGCCAACGCTGGCTTTAGTATAGCAACGGCTATTGCTATTGTTGTTGACAACAGCAGCTAACTGCTACCGTTTACTCTACGAAAAGATTGCTCAGACTCACAGCGAATAGGCCGTCGAAGCGGACCAGCTTAACGGAAAGCTACCGGCGACCGAACGGAATGCCAGTCTCCCTCTGAGTGTTTCATGAACTGAACGTGATTGCTTAGGCAGAGCCAGCAGCAGTAAAGCCTGGAGCCTAGGTTGAATGACGGCAAACGCCGCTATATGTGTTTGCTGTTGCCACTGTTGGCGTTAAAAGTTGCGTGGCTGTCTTCGTGGCCCACGGCGAGTCGAGTCGTAGTTCTGCTGGTAGAATAGTCACAATTACAATAGAAACTATAGAGAAGTAGCGATTACTGGTTTATCTCCGTTCGATTACAGACCGGCCTGGTGGAGAACTCCCGGCAGCTGTTTACCACCGCCCGCCGACTACGGCTGGTGAACCGTATGCGTGGAGCCATTGATGGGCCACACATCCGCCCATAAGGAAGAACCAACGAAATCTACGTAACGGTAGCATTGGGATAGGTAAAACGAACGGTACAATTTAGTGCGATAGGAAGAATCTGCTCGATGCCTATTTTAATCTAACGGTGATGATGTAGGGCGTGATAAAAGTGTCCTGCCATTTTCGGAGTCTGTTTTCTCTCTCACTAATAAGAGAGTGAAATGTAGACGAAGGAAAGAGCTAAAAGAAGTTACGTGGAGATTTTTGAACCTACAAGTAATTTTTGCCACTATATACATACATACATAGACAGTGTGTAATCTGTATGGGTATAGAAAGCAATAGCAGTCTAGGGGCATAATTCTTACGTAACAATAATTAGGTTTAATTTGTATAGATCTTTTGTATCGGAAGCAATATATGTATATTTTATATATTGCATACATACATACATATGTCCAGGTATATTTTATGGTCTAATAAAGACGGTGGAGACCGTCGTTCAAATGTTGCCTACGTTTGAACGCTGTTTAAATTCGGTGAGCGTCTGCTATGCTGATGTTGTCTGCTCCAACAGTACGGATGTACACAAAAAAAGTCAAATACATCTTTACGTCTCTCGGACAGCAGCTCAACTGTCCCAAATCGTTGCTATAACAGAAACGTCCGGCTGCTTCGTCCTGTCATCAGACCTTAGAAACTAACAGAATCACCCCGTATAGAAATTTATTTTCGTCCGATTCGTGACTGGCCAAGCGGTCAGTAAGTAAGTAACTCGTTGGAACACCTTGATGGTCTCGTTAGTTTCAATGTTGTCGCCATATGCTTTTCGGTTGTTGAATTCCCGGAAGTAATTCATTTCGTAGAAATCTATCGAGCTTCACTCAAACAGTAATTTGCATACGTGCACCTTGTCCCTTCCCCATTTCCACGTGGCAGTCGCGGTGGCAGGCCGCTTCTCTATAGGTTCTTTCTTCTCTATAGGAACCGTTGACACTAATGATACTCACCTTTGGTTGGACTCCTAGACGACTGCGCGTGTATCCATTGGAGATTGATAACGCAAAATTGTATTATTGCACAGATTAAATAAGAGGGCTGTGCACGAACGACAGTTGTGTAAACGCAAACTACACCGCCGTCTCATTCGAATGTTACCTGCTACACCTTTTCACTGCACCGCACACAAAAACACGCCTTTCAGTGAACACACGTGCGTATTACTGATACTTTCCTTATCAGTATAATAATAACAATTTTTCCTAATAATAATTATAACATTAGGATTCCGATTAGTTCTCAGCTCATAGATGTAGTTTACGAGACTCTACGAGGACCGTAAAAGCAACACTGTCGACGAACTACGTGACCGAAACAATCCTGGCGACTGGCAGCCGTAGCGGGAACACCGCTGAGTTTCGAATGGCACGAGTTTGCCGGACAAATGGTACATAGAAAGATACTAATGGGTAGGTAATTCCATTCAGCATCGATAACTCGAAAATGAGACACTGAGGCAACGAGTTGAATGTATGGAGAGCGCGACCACAGTCACAATGACGAGGCCAATAACGACAATTGTAAACCAAGACAATCCCTCCAACAACTCCCCCGCCGAACTCCCCCACTCAACCAAGACCGATAGTCTGCTCGTAGCCTGTATCGTCACGATATCTAGCGACGTCTATTAGTTCTACGCATAACCGCAGCGTAAGGACAGGCAAATTGCATCGATCTCACTCTAGGCAATAATAGTTAGGCAATACCAGTCGCCGCTGACGTAGACCCAGCGCCGATATCACTGGGGGCTATGTCCTTGGAGCTCCGTTTCGTCACGATAACAACTAATGACTATTGTACGTGAACCGAACGAAAAAACTGTGGCATCCGATTGAGGCCGATGACACTCCAGTTGAATCAAGCTGGCGAACAGAAAAAGGCCTTAGGATCTCGTGCGAAATTTTCGATTCTGTGATGGGCTCCTTATTCAAGCGGGCCTTGCACTTCACTGGTTTATGGGCGTTGCCGACGCGACGATAAAGTACGCGGTATGTCTTCGATAAAAGAACACGAGTTTGCACGACGACGAATGCGCTGGCGCCTCTGCGATGTAAACAAAAAATGAAATACTGTAATATATACGCAGTGCTACGGTATCCGAGTCCACGTACTGCTGTAGGTACGTTGCGACTCGGTATGGCAGTTGCGGTGACCTTGTTCTAGCAGTCTGCAGTAGCTGCTCAAACAGGACTACTAATACAGTTAGCGGCTCATCCGTCGAGCTAGAGATCTCGTCTCAGCTTAGAGAGAGCGCACTGGCAGATGATGATTGAATCGTGATCCGACCTCCCAGGCAGTTCTCTTCGCGAATGTTGTGTTGCCTGAAAGCTATTGCGTCTCTGCTTAGAAATGATGATATTTACCAATTTTGACTAACTACGGCCACAAATTGTAGTAATCTCGTGTTTTTCTCGTCTGGCCGTTCCTCTTCGCACTGTTTACCGCTATTTTATTATCACCCATTTAAATGATATAGCACTTATCAACGGCTGGACCAGCGGCTGCTTCCACTGATTAGCCCGTTACGTAAGCGCGCCTGGTCCGCGGCGTAAACAAACAGCTTGCCTTTAAAGCGTCACCTAAGTAACAATGCGTTTCAAGGGCGATCAAAACATTCTGCAAACCCGACTGCAGCGTTCAGATACCAACACGTTGCAGGCCCCAGCCGGACCGCCGTGCCGACGAAAATTAGTAGGAAAAGGCGTAGTTCTCCTTACAACTACTGCGGACGTAGCATAAACCTTCTTGGATCCACAGGATCAGCAAAATGGAGAAGAAACCGAGCATCTGCTCACTGACTCACTTCGGCACAGATTTCTTTTCAAGGTCACCAGATTGCCACTCACCAGCTTCACCAATATTGGACCAAAGCACGCATGCCAATAATGACTACTGCGGTCTGCTCTCATTTGGTTGATGTAGGAGTTCCTGTTACGTCTTAGCGAATTACCAATCACTTCCTCAGGCCACCATCAGGCACGGGAAAAGCCTGCCGCTGTGACTGTGTAACACAAACGGACTTTAATTTCAGCAGTCATAGGTTCGTAGCCATGAGAAGCATCGTCGGCAGGCACACTTTCCACTGTTATTATTGTCTTATCCACAATTTTATGTAGGTAAGTGTTGTGAAACCGGCTGTGAGTCTCAGGCAAGCGCACACCGTGCCTTCACAGCGGTCCTCGAAAAGGCGATGATGGCTTACTTATACGAAAACACAAGCAGCCTGTCCTCTCAAGCTGATCCTAGGTAGTCTCGTCTAGTATTCCAGGGTATTCGCTGATAAAAGCTCGAGATCTTCGTTCTACCAGCGACCAGCGAGAAAATCAACTCACCAGCATCGATCTATCTTTGTTTCCACAAATGATGTCGAAGCGTTCTGTTATACTATGACAAGAGAGGCAATAAAACGCAATTAGACCGATGACTAGAATCTGCACTGCACTATGAAAGGTGCAAGAGATTGGAGAACTTGGCAAATATTATGAGGGTTGAGCTCTCCGAGTCGCTGGGTGTCTCTGAGCATGCATGTAGGTTTCGCCAATGTCACACAGTCAGATGACCTTGCATCATTCAGATCGTAGTAGGTAGGCAGGAATGGTACTAGATTATGGGCTTCAGGTCGGTTGAATGTTGTTCGATTGTCGCCGCTGCTGCTGTCACCGTTGTTATTTCAGGGGGGCGAACTTGTCGTTTTTTGGTTTTTTTTTTGTAGTATTGGCCGCCTTAACCCGAAAAATCACCTCGACAACGTATTTCGTATGGTGTTGCCAACAACGAATAAAGCATGCACATATGTTCTTGCCGTCGCGAATGCTATAATAGGCTAGCAGTTTCTTACTGGCGATTTGATTGTTTATTCCACACTGTGATTGGTATCCACTGTAGTTGTGTGATCGTCTCACCGTTGTGGTCCATTCGTTTTATTCAACTTCTATTGATTGAATATTGAAAGCGACACCAGGGAAGACTCGGTCTAATAAACTCTTTCATTTTTTCCACAGGTTTTTTCTCCGATATTCTACTATATCAATATATTGAGCCCTATTATCGCCGATAATTCACACACTTCACAATCATTTACATGACGCATTTACATGAAACGTAATCATCTGGAAGATATGTGCCATCCTTGGTTGCTTCTTATAGCAGCTGTTGTCATTGGGCGTCACCGCAGTCGTTTGCTGCCGTTTCTACTTAGTCGTTTTCGATCCCGTCTCAAGCAATATCAGTAACCTAATCGACTGAACCTACCTGGATTAACCAGCCTGTCTAAATAGTCAACTGGCTTAGAACACGGTCACCGCTGCACTCTGACCGTCAACGCGACGAGGGCCAGCTATCGGTAATTGACCATCAACACAAACAGTACCGCATTTCGTCTTCATGCGGCTTCAGTTTCGGCGATTTCTACAGGCCACGCTATGCAAAATGCCCGTGGTCATCTACTGCGCGTTTCAGGCAGTAAAAACACCGTTCCGCGTATTTTACCCTAGCACAACGTTGCGGACCGACGACACTCACTTCAACTTGCATCGTTACCGCATATGATCCGATGGTAACAACCAACAGACTTTCCGGTGTTTACTGAGATGTTACTTCTAGAACGATTAGCAGTCAATCTATTCGATCTCTGTGATTCGTCATAGACACTGCGCGTTCACTCCGACAACGTTTGTTGCCGAGGAAGAAGGGTTTGCTCGTCACGACTGTCGTCAAACGGCGATATCTGCTATTAGTCCCGTAATCCGTATGGTGTTCATTACCTTTCGTGTGGTTTAAAGGAAACACTGTTATTAGTGAAGTAGTTGCCACTGCTGTGATTGTAGACACTGAAGCGTCAGCGCTATCTAACAAACTGTCTATCGTTTGACAGCTGCCTGGTCGCTTAGACGCTTGTTAATCTAGCTCTGTTCGTCATTTGATGACGGAATGGTTAGCTACGTTCTTTCGGCGCCCCTGTCACTTGCGGCAATAGCAACTGTGCTGCGGCCACCGGAGGCAAACGCAGTCGTTAGCCAAAGTCCCCTCTCACCGCGCCAAGCGTTGGGCAAGCGCGTGCATTTGCACGACAGTAACATCAGCGACGGCGGCGGCGGCGGCAGCAGCAGCTGCAGAACAAGCACATTCCACCATGACCACCATCATTCACTGCCAAAAGCACCATTAATACGACAATTCGATATTAGCAGTCTAATGCGAGTAGGACAGGAGCAGCATCAGCCGCTGTGTGTCGACGGAAGATGAATCGGCGAGTGGGCCCGTTTCGTAGCGCTTGCCACGACAGGTAGCAACTCGATCCGTAACAACAGTTGGCGAGGCGGGAAACCCTTTCGAACTAAGGCGACAGAGATGGAAATTGAAACGGTAACACGACGTGGGCCACAATCACGGGCGACGCAGCTAAGAGATAAGAAACAGACGTTAGCAATCAGTGGACGGTCGTTCAACGCGATGGGCTGTGATACGGACGCATGCGCACGATTAAGGGGAAAGAAAATCCAAGTTCACATTGGATAGTCGTAACGCGCAGTCAGGAGCCGAAACGTCAAATTAACACTTTTGTGAAACTGTGTGCAAGCTCAACTAGCGGGTAAGTGGGGACGTGGAATAGAATGTCAGATCATTCGCAGTTGAGGTCGTCGTAGCAGCTGTACAGCATCTCGAATACTCAGGTACTCGGTATTGCACTGAACAGTCAACAAGGACCAGGTGAGCTTTTGCTTGCCGCTGTTGCTACTTTTCGGTGTAATGATAACCAGTAACGAAAAGACACGGGCGCACGGAGTGTGCTGGCAATGTTCTTGGTATAGTTCGTTCGAGCTGAGGACCAGTTAGCTGAGGCTCGTACGGGTTAGCAGGTGGCGCTAATGATGGTACCGAATAACCGAACCAATTATAACAGCATCTTACTTAGCGACTCCATTGTACTACCTTACAAAAAGGTCAAGTATAACGAACGGGATCAGATCCAGCCACCTCTCGCTAGACGTTACCCATCAGTCGACTATTTTCTAGTCAACAATTGTTTGGTCAAATCGATCTTTACAGCAGCAGCAGCAGCAGCAGCAGAAGAAGAAGAAGAAGAAGAAGAAGAACGAAACATCGCAGCCATAAACGCAGCATTTGAGTAACCGTCCACTTTTACTCTGGTTTATCGTGTGTACGCCTCCATAGCTCCAGCCATTGCTGCTGCTGCTGTCTTTCCTTGGTTGTTCTAAAGCCAATCAAAGCACTGCGAACTACTCCTGATGATTCCGCAGTGTTTTTTTGCCAAAGTCAACGACGGTAGTAGCGGCAGCATCGCTACCGCTATTACCACCAGCTGCAAAGCTTCTTGCAGAATTCAGTTATAGAGACGGCTTCCGTAGGCGTATCAGTGGTCACAAGCGCAAGCTGAGCCAGCGTGCGCGATCAGATGGTAGTGGCGGTGGAGAGGGCGCCACCGTCGTAAGTCCGATGTCAACGATACTGGGAAGACAAAGCAGCAGCAGCTAACGCACCCGCGCGCGCGCGGAGAAGGGGAGAGGAGAACAGGACCTTGTGGTTGTAATGGTACGAACATCCGCCAACAACGGTAGCTGTTAACAGCGGCGGAGAAACGAAAAGAGAAAAGTGGGTAAGGGAAAAGGGGGAGGGAAGGCGCGCGAGCGGAAACGGGGCCTCCTGCCCTCTTCAGTTCAACTGCAAGGACAGCAGAGGCCCACCAGCTGAGGGGCGTATACGTGCGGATACGAGTGTGCAAACAGAGCACTAGAAGGAAAGGGACACGTAGGCTGGCGAGCGAGAGATAGATCAGATGTAGGAGTAGTAGAGGAACCGAACGGGTGTGACAGCTGAGCAGAGCTCTGTCTATCGAGTCACGGATGTATTACAGTAGAAGAACAGGAATTAAGCTAATGAAGTGGGTGTAGCAGCTGGACTGCTTTACAGTGGGGCAAGCTCTATTTTGCTATTCAAGATTTAAAGATATCTGGAATTAGTGACGACCACTAAGCGTGTGTTGGTCGCACAGCAGCGCGAGCAACAGAGCGGTCGTCAATGCTGTAGACACCATTATGAGAAAATGTGTTAAAAAAGATAGGTAAATAAAAACGAATGGATGAATTATGACTTTACCTGTCAAAAGAGGTCGATTTATTATGCATTTAACATACAGCTTGAGGTGAACTATTTGCATAAGAAACATGAGCACAGGCTAACATATATAGATATACTGCGCATATTGAGACTGTGTGCTGAAACTAGATCAGGAGAAAAAACAATTTTCTAGCACAGTTTGCCTATACCTGGTAGTTACATGTATAGGCTGCGCGCCAAAATGCAAAATAAGGTACGCAACTGTCGGAAAAATATCAAAGCAAGGGAAGCAAGCTACCGCGTAATGTTCGATGAATATAAAAATCGGAAAGGGCAACAAACATCAATGAAAGTCTAACAAAACAATCTAACAAAGATGGACGTTTAGAGAACTTGTGCACAAATCGAGTAAATATTTCAGCTGACAAGGGTAACTGGTAAAGATGCACTGTCTAAATAAAGAGTAAATTTAATTTAAAGTTTCACTAT